ATAATAATAATAATAATAACGATAATAATAATAATAATAATAATAATAATAATAAATAGAATTTTGAATGGTTTCCAGACGCGACAACAACGTTCACACAAATCGTCTTCAACACGATGCCAACTCGTGCACCAGCCGAAGAGAGCTTCCTAATTCAAGATCACTTAACAACCACATCTGAGAAGAACAACGATATGATCACGTCAAAAGATCATCAACAACGCAAAAAGACTAATCCAATCAATCGGATATTCAGACATCGTCGAGCTAATGTCGCCGATGTTAAAGCACCTCCACCGAACTATTCAGAAACTGCTGTTGAAGATGACAGAAAATAATAATTAATAATTCATCTATAATTAGTTCTGTACTATATCGAATATATTCATTAATTAATCAATTCATTCAATCATTGACTCGATAGTTTTACAATTCACGTTAACTTTCATCGTTCCTGATAAAGTCTTCACTGCAACTCTCCACTCTCACCTTAATATAAACATATCAATAGTATTGGGATATTTGATTTAATGAAGAACGTTTAATCGAATAAAGTCATTTTCATATCGTATCCTATCAAATGCTTTATCGCAATCGTAATCATCATCAAACGATAGCGTAATAGCAAGATGTTAGTATTTTGTAAGGTTATAACACCTCATTACATCGTTACATGAATTACTATGTTTTTTCTGTTGCTATCATTGTTAGTGTTGGGTTTTTTGACGTAATGAGGAATGCTTAATCGAATGAAATAAAGTCGTTTTCATATCGTATCCCATCAAATGCTTTGTCACGATCATAATTATCTTCAAACGATAGCCTAGTAGCAAGATGTCAGTAAGAAAGATGCTTTGCCTAAGGACATTTTGCCTAAAGATACATTGCCTAATGGAGTTTGCCTAATGGCAATTTTGCCTAATGGAGTTTGCCTAATGGCAATTTTGCCTAATGTGATTTTGCCTAATGGGCGGGCGAGATTGTTAGACGCATCCGTTCAGAACATGTTGGGAATTTCCATCGCGCGGCTATTGTTAGAACACCTGTACATATAAACGTTAGTGATTTTGATGACTTCAATCAAAGTCAAATTTTGACCAATGAAGTTACGAAGAGCAAACAATGGGCTTTATCACCGCTGATGGACAGCTTGCTTCAGCAGTCTCCTTCAACGAACTATGTTTGCATTCATACATAACACATTTCCCACAAGAATAAATGATGATATTTATTATTAATTATGCATGTCAAAGCACACGAAATTAGGTAAAATGCTGATAATAACAATGTTCATAACAGTAACAACGCATGATAACTAATGACACTTATAATAACAACAGAAGTAGCAATTAAATAATTGGTAAAAATAGTGAAAATGGTAATAGGAGTAAAAATAAATAACAATCATAAAAATAAAAGTAATAAAAGTATTAATAATCATTGTTACTACTTAAGGCATTAGGCAGCCCATTAGGCAAAATGACATTAGGCAAAATTGCCACTAGGCAAACTGCCCGTTAGGCAATGTGTCTTTAGGCAAACTGTCCTTAGGCAAAACATCTTTAGGCAAAATTTCCGGTTACGGTAAGGATATAACTTCTCATCGCATCGCATGAATTACTATGTGATATCTGTTGCTGTTATTGTTAGTGTTGAGTTTTTCGATGTAATGTAGTATGTTTAATCGAATAAAATAAAGTCATTTTCAGATCGTATCCTATCAAATGCTTTATCACAATCGTAATCATCATCAAACGATAGCGTAATAGCAAGATGTTAGTATTTTGTAAGGTTATAACACCTCATTACATCGTTACATGAATTACTATGTGATACTTGTTGTTATCATTTTTTTGTGTTGGGTTATTTGATGTAATCATGATGCAATCAATGAACTATGAGAAGGTAAACAACTGCATATGAGGGAAGCCGATTGGCCGGTTCACTTTGCTTATCAGAAAGCAGGTGTGATCATTTGACAAGGCAAAAGATATCATAATTTTCTCATCATAACAATAATGACGATGAAGATAATAAAAGTAACAATAATTATAAAATAATAATAATATTACAGTAATAATAATGGCTTCTTTATTTAATTATTCTATTATTATCAGTTAATGCAGCAGTGATTAAAGCAATTGGTTAGTTGTCTTCAATTAATTACTTCTTCATTATGATTTCTTAATTGTTCTTGATCCTAGTCACTTGGAAATCTGTCGGTATTTACACAATATTGTTCAGATGGCATGTTGATGGAAAATGTGTGCATAATTTTTAACGGTGCCGTACAATGTGCAGTACTGATCAGTTGCTGATTAGTGATTACTTAAAGCAATTTATTTCACTCTTTTTTAAGTCAGCAATTACACCAGTAATGAGAAATCATGAGCAACACGTAAATGTCTACCTCTCTGTTACGACCATCTCTCTATTATCACGAATACCATCAGTATTTTCTTCGGTTGTCAGTATTCTTCTTCTCAAGTATGCAGCAAAGTTGTCGCATAGCCCAGCTGGTTATTCCTCTTTCGTCTCAACCGCAGTTTGTTTAGCTCTTAACCTAAGCTGCCGTCCAAACTCATCCCACTGTTGTAGAAACTGTGACGTAAGGAAGTTGGACTGTAACTTCCAACTTTGCAAAAAAGTTTCAACTTTTTCAAAGCGTGTCCCATTGTAAGTTTAACCACTATCTGGTGATTTTTATGAATAATACACAGAGGCAATCCAACTTTCGATCGGTATCCTTGATTATATTCTGGGCATCCTGATTCATAGAATAATAACAACGGCGTCCAGGCATTTCCTCTCAGTTCTGTTTTGATTATTTCAATTCTTCAAATCATCCGGGGTAATCGCACAAACTTTCAAAACGGAGATAGCATTAGTGAAACACAAAAGGCGTTTATTTACTTATTTCATTATTCAGTCATTGCTTGAGCAGTTAAAACAGTTACTCATTATGAGTTTATATCCGTCACTCCTAAATCACCACCATCTATTTCACAATAACCAATACATTCTTCATTCGGTGGTATTCTTAATTAACATACATTTGACGATGTTAGTGTTGATGAGCGATAATAAACTAATCGATTTATGTTATTAACATTCGTTTGTTTGCAGCATTTTTGCAGTAATTCCTCTTCGCAACATTGGTCCATCTTTCAGATGTTTATCCGAAATATGAAAGTCATATTCGAAAGCCAACCAACTGCTTCGTTTACTTCATGAAACATAGAGCCATCCATCTCCTGATTCAACGAATTCTTTCACATAAACGCCTCCTCTCCAGCCAAACAGCTACAGTACACCAAAATCAAATTTTTATGTCATTATCAAAACGATCCAAATATGCAAAACACAAATGTCAATATTTTTATGAGCATCATTTGTTTCACAAAAGCTATGTTACAGTATGCCAGAAATAATCTATTTGCCTTTCCTTCACATATTCCTTCATCTTTATTTATTCACAAAACAACCATAATATAAATATATACATAAACATATCATACATGAACAACAAACCAACATAAACAAAATATAATTTTTGTTGATCTAATAATAGCAACAATAAGATTGTTATTAATGACATTATTAGAGAGAATATTGGTATTCACTAATATATGAAGAAGTTCTTAACAGTTCATATAAACAGAGATTTTATTTGATGCTGATGAGAGATCTAAGATATTTTATTCATTCATACTTAAACACGTCATAAATTAAGCATATTTCGTAATTGTATTGATGGGCATAACGAAGAATTTTTGTTGAAATTTATTTCATATATGTACTTAGGATTTGAAATTTGATTGTAATCTATTCACAAAGCAATCATAACCTATGTACATTGAGTTGAGAAGAAAATTGGGAAAAAATATTCGAATTAGAGTGCTGAAAGTTTTTGGTGGATATCTGAGTGCTGTTTTTTATTGTGGAATATTTATTGCTTGCAAAATAATACTGTATAACAAGAGCTCAAAAAAATTTCTTCGTTATTTTGAGTAAGTGAGGGAAACTTCAAATGACAAGTTCTTCGACTTATTATTCGACTCGACCATTTCAAAATTACGAAATCTTTATTAATCATCTATGATTATCAATCGGTTTTAAAGAAGAAATCACCAACTGAAGGAATACAGTACAGTAATATTATTAGTGATATGATCTTAATACTAATAATGATAATAATAGTACAACCAATATTATAAGAAATTACTGTCTAATGATGATAAGTATGCAAAATACACAATGAACTGAAGATGAATGAGATTTTCTAAATTGCTGATCACTGAATTATTTTGTTGTTGAAGAAGATTACATAAATTTATAAGTTTTAGTGCAGCCCGTCAGTCATGTTTATCTCATCTTACGTTGTTACGTCAAGAAGCCGAAGTTTGAGGCATGGATTTGAAGTTAAAGCAGATGTTTAACTGACGAGAGACAGAGAAGATGAATGAAAACTGGTCATTTTGAGAACTTTGCGGATGGTACAGCTGCAGAAGCGTCCAATAAGGAGGTTAGCAATGAGATGGAATTGTCATCGTAATTTGAGAAGAAACGGTTCTTGTCGAAACTGCTTCCCATAATACTATCTGAATTACTATCAGCACCAACAATCTGGGAATACTTCTGATGATCAATTCTGTCGCTTAAATGTCGTCCTGCGCACGAAGGTATCGTATCAATACATGTTCCTTCATTCTCCATCATTATACTAATCATTGCTGTAAGCGCTTTTATTCCAATTATGGTATTGATGCTAATAATAGTAGTAATGGCGGTAAGACTGCAAACACCACTATCTGCGTTCACTTAATCGGCCGACTGCTACGATTACTGTTGACTGATAAAGTACCGGTTAAATCAGCGGTTAATAATATTATAGTAAGGTACAGTTTCTTGTTGTTATTCGGGTTACTGGACCAACTGATGAACCGTGAGTGCACTTAATGGAATTGTTTTCAAGGCGATACAACTGGTAAGAAAAAGGAATACTGGCTTCCGGGTTACTGTGCAATCTGATCGAATAAGAGCAACCAGACTGACAATTAAAATAATATCAATAAGAGATTTGAATGAGTGATGGTTGAAAGTAGATAACGAGTGATAATATTGCTTAATGAAGCGGGATGAGAGTTTTGACAGTGAATTATTAATTCTGCAATCAGTGTTTGAAATGAAGGTAATTAATAGTATTAGTATAAGTGATAATAATGATATTAGGTGGACAGTGATTGCAGAATGAACTTGACGAAATTTGATGAAGGAAGTTTAGTCTGAACGACTGCTTGTTTTCGAGAACGTTTAATTGATGAAAGTGATGGGGTAAATTTAGCAACAATTATTGAAGATGGCAATCAGTTTGTGGTTATTAATAAAATGATGCTTGATTGCCCTTTTATAAGGTATCGAACGCGACGATTATCAAGACAAATAAATTGTTGCAGTGGAATGGAGCGAAACGAAAGACGATTTGAGAGATGAACATTTGCAAGGGCGTGAAAGAAAGGAGGGAAGTCGAAAAAGGTTAGAAGTTAAGTCATGTGATCTAGCAGCCAACCTCTTTGCATGATGCCATTCTTTTTTATACGTGTTTCTTTTTTTGATGATCTTTCGTTTGTGCCATCGTCCTGCTTCTGATTCTCATTATGATAATCGAATGAACATAACTGCATCCATTCGTTTGCTCACCGCTTCCTTGTACTATTTTCTTGATTACTAGTCTGATATGGTGTGATATGATACCTTCAACGAAGCATATCGTAACGTTTCATTTTATTTCTTTCTTTTGTATTTTATTCCATTTCTTTCCAGCCCATTCTCAATTACATTCCAATCGTTCACTCATTTAATTATCTATTGAAACTTCTTTTCGTCCTTGCAGGAGAATGTTTCCGCGAAGAAGAGGCGTGAGAGAAGCAGCGATTAGCAACGATCAGCTTTATTTATGTGTTCTTTAACAACTAAGTGAACAGTTTAACCTATTTGTTGTTCGCTTGTACTTCCGTTCATTTCAATTCGCATGTCCTTTTGACGGAGATCATGATAATGATGATGTTGATGACGAAGTTAATTGTGTAATCTTTGATCTGCTGTTTTAATTATGATAAGTCTTGTGGGTTGTTCGTATTTTTAATTCGTATCTTTTAATCATTAGTTCATTGCATATTTGTTCGATTTTTGTTTTTGTTTCGTGCATTTGATTCATTTTGTTTTGATTCATTTATCTGTTCATTCATTCATTTAATTCAATCCAGTCTTAGTTCCAGTCAAAAAAGTTCAAACTTCTCCAATCAATTTTCAGATGCAGTCGATTCGTCGGAGAGATCAATCAATCTTAGAGTTTGATGGTGACGAAATTCCAATCGACCAATGGAATGAATATTCATAGATATGTAGAAAACTTAAAAAGAATAGTACTGGTCGGTTGCTTGCTAAACGGTGGACGGTTGATTCAGATTACAACGATAGGTGGTCGACTCCTGTTTCTGACGTTATTAGCTTTTGGTCGTTCTTTCAGTCATCTTCTGCACTATATATAAATAGAGCAGAGCCAATAACACTGGCTTGCAGCCATGATAATAGTGCACGTGCCTTTTTGCATCACCTTGCTTCTGCTACTGATGTGACATGAGAATATTCATAGCATGAAATACAACAACAACAATAGTAATTGCAATAACAATACTAGTAAAATTAGTGATAGTAATAACGATGTTACAATAAATATTCTTATCGTTGCTAAATACGCTTTATTGCTGCGGTTTTACATGTGCTATGATTCTGGTCGTGCTCTTATCAGTATCGTAATTTAAAATGGTACGATCATGTGATTTCGCGATCATCAATCAGTAGACTTCATACGATCTAAGAAAGGTGATAATAAGAAATGGGCGAATATGATGCAATCTACACTGGCTAGAAAATGTTGCCGATAAAATGTTGTACTACTATATGGCAAACAGATGGAACTGTCATAATTCTGCACTAATTCAATAAAATTTGATTGCTTTGCGATTACTTTATACACAGAATTGTTAAGAAAGTTATTATTGGTAAGCCCGAATGATTTGTATTGAATCCGAATGGTAATATGTCGATTAAAAAATTCAAAAGATAAGTCTGTTTGAATGTGTTCTTGATCTATATGTTCACATTGCATCCAAAAGTTTGCTTCCGCACTTACATAATAAGGATGAGGCTAAAATCAGGCCATTCACAGTTTTGTTCAATAACACATCAAGTAATGATTGAGCACAAAGTATCATATCAGGCACTAGAGAATGATTAACAGTTATTGTTGTCGTCTGATTCTTCGAAATTATTTTTCTAGTCTCAGTTCTACCATGTTACCGATAAGCATGTGATACTGTAGAATTTCCTTTTCATTAACATCCTCGTGTGCTATTATTGTCCCATGTCACATTATCTTTCGCATTCTACTTTGCAATCTCTCATTGTATATGATCATTCACTTCTTTCACGTGTTGCATTCCATCACAATGATTATCGTCTTAACAAGTTCACCGAGTTCATCTGGGAAGAAGAGGTTTTCTTATTGCTTTTTGTCGTTTGCGAACCGAATGTCAACCAACGACGATCTTTAATCTTTATATCGCTATTAGTTATTGCATCAATCATCATCAGATCGAGTGAACGATCGAATAAAAACGTTGAAAACTAAACGGAAATTATTTTTGCTCCCACAATTTTCCAAATACAAATGTGGGAGGGGAAAAGTTGAAATGGTATCTGCAAGAATGAGTGAAGAAAACGAACTAATAATGAGAGTGCATTGTTGCTATGAAACGAGAAAAAAAAAAACAAATTCACCCTCGAACGGTTAAATACACAAACGGACTGAAAAGGAAAATACACGATAGAGTTTGTGAAAAAAAAAGAAAATATTGTTGTTAGTTCAGAAAAAGATTGATACGGTTTTTTTTCGAGTTTTGCAACAAAACTAAAAAACCACTTTTAACATTCAATGTTATCGACGTAAACAATAACTTGCGACTCGCCTCACGTCGGCTCACAGTTCAACACAAACTTCAAAGTATCATGTGCAACTCATTTAGATATTTTTATACGTACAATCTGTGAGGGATCGTACTAAAACTTCTCAAGCAGTGATTTCAAGTTTGAATTCCAAGAAAAAAGAATCAGCTAACAATATCATGCATTCATGCACCCATTACTGCAAACGATTCAAGTGAAACTTCTTGACATCGTACAGCTATGTTGTGTTCAGATAATTTGTAGTGTATTTTTTGCATGTCAGTTAGTAATACTTTCTGCATAGCAGTCAATCAATTACATAAGAAATCATCATTCACACGAAGAAATAGCAACATTTTTATTGCATGAAAGCGTTCTATTATAAATCGAGACGAAAATTTTTTTATTATTAATCGAGACGAAAATAGCTGTTGTAAACGAATATTGCATTTTGCACCGCTCTGAACTGATAAAAGTTTCTTTTGTTAGTTGATCTTCATTCGCTTTCAACGAATGACTCTGCTAAATAAATTGCACAAACGATCAAAACTAGTCTTATATCCACTATGAAGTTCAAATTCAATACAAATTAGTCTCAACTTTAAAACGTTAACAGGTGTCCGAGATTGCACTGAAAATGTACACGTCAACTTCGAAATTCCGACGGTCGGACTCCGACCGGACAGTTTGAAAAGTCGGTCGGAATGACTAAATGCCAATCCGGTCGGATTCCGACCAACCAAAATTTCGCTCAGACCCCATCACTAGTGTATTGTATGCGTCTAGGATGGTTGAGAATTGGATGATCTCAGCATATTCCAGTGTTTTATCATAAAATGCGATTTTTTTGATTTTATCATTGTTACTCTGAATTGGATTTTATACTTTTAGTAGCTTTTCGTATTGTATGACCTCAATATGAACGACAGATAGCTTTCAGTTGAATTCAGCATTGAAAAGGTCGAAACAGTTCTTATTTGAATTCATTATTTTGTCGTTTGTATTTCAGTATCAAATATTCGCATTCCACTGTTTCATCATACCGTGCGATTTTTTGATTTTATCACTGCGAATTTTACTGTAAATTCAATTTCATATTTTTATTACTTTTTGAAAGTGTGCACTGTTAAATAAGATGGTTCGTACAAAAACATATCAAAACAACCCTTCAGAAATCTCGAACTTCATCTGTGTTATATTTCCAGAGGTTTATAGTCAGTGAGAGAATTAGTGAACATCACCATTGCTCACGCCGAGCGTCATAACTCTCTTAACTTAACAGTTGGCGAAAGAATCTGGAACAGATTTTTGTTGTACTCAATCTCGGCTACAACATGGTATGTATCATGATTAAAAATTTTTCCTGTCCGGTGGGTACCAATTGAAAGTATCTGTTGCATTTTTGCCCTTAACGCGAAATCGAAAATCTCGAGCATATGTCGATCACTGGTGAATTTATTAGCTATTTTTTGTTCTCCTGGATCTGCGCTACAAAATGATGTATGACTTGCCTGGATTTATTCCCGTTGAATAGTTAAGAAATTCACATTTCCGAACATATATCAAATGAAAATCCCACTTCCGTCACTTGGCGAACTGTCATTCCGTTCGTACTTGGCGAAGTGTGTGTATACCTTTGTCGTAAACCCCCACGGAGGCAATTATTAGTGGTGTTAATAAAATGAATTTAAATAAATACAGTACTTTTTATCGTGTATATGAGGAGAATTTATTCATCTATTAATTCTAGCGGTTAAGTTTTATGAACTTGTACGCCAGTTTTAACACATTCCAGCTGGTTGTATATGAGCGCTCAAAAACTTTTACGAATTTGTTTTTCGTTTGACTTTTATTGAAAATTTTTTGACTTGATTTTCAGCTTGTTTCATGTGAGAAAAAAATGTTATGTGGAAAATCGAGGATCGGTCTTGCGTGCAGCAAAAAATATTCACGAAATTGTGTATCATCTTGTGGCTATTCAAGCTCAAATGACCAAAAGATGGGTTATCCAGACAATCATCCCGGTGAATGTGACGAGTCGAAACCGACACATATTATTGTAGGAGCGGGAACGGCCGGATGTGTTGTTGTAAGTGACTGTAACGCTAACAGTAATGATTGGAACAACATTGTATGGATTACTGTTAACGTTGATTTAATGTTTTTGTAGGCGAATCGTTTGAGTGAAAATCCAACCAATCGTGTTCTTCTGCTTGAAGCAGGTCATTCGGATGTTTATCACTTCAACTGGAAACTGCGTATGCCTCGAGCTTATGTTTGTAATTTGAGTAGTCAAAAACATAATTGGTATGTGCAGTTATTGTTATAAATGATAATCTTATGAACTGTAAATGTTTTTGGAAGCACCTTTCGAAGCATTTTGGAAGCATTTTGCAATCATCAGCGTTTACAATGATAAAATTTATAACACCAGCAATAATAAATAATAATAATAATAATCATAAGCGTAATTCCGCCAATATTAAATGCATTGTCAACTTTAAGTGATATTTTTTGTTACGATTCATATTGATGGTTTTTTATTTCTGAAAGTGTTCAATATGCGTTATTATTTTAATAGGATGTATCACAGTACGGCGCAAAAGAATTTGAATGATCGTGCCATATATTTGGCAAAAGGTCGTGTATGGGGTGGCACTTCAACAATCAATTCGATGGTATATGAATTTGGAAATGCTGAGAATTTTAATGAGTGGGAGAATCAAGGTGCTTCGAAATGGTCGTATAAGTAGGTTGTTTTTCATGTGATGATGCTAATACATATAAGTGAGTGATTCATATTTATTTACTTTTTAATAAATTATGACAGTTGCTGATGATAAGTTGCTTCTCAATTTTAGATTCATTGAAAATTATATCAAAAGATCTGAAGATGATTCGTTCACATGTTCATCATTCACACACTTAGACACGATTCAAGCACCTTGTGAGCATCCTCTACATAAAGCTTTCATTGGAGCCGCTCATTCAGTGAGTGTGCATCGTCGTTATGTTTACAGTTATAATTATTTATTATTTTTTCACTGAGTGCAATGATTCAGGTAGGAATCGCAGAAGTGGTGACAGATTGTATCGTCAAACAAGACGGAGTATACCCCGCAAACTTAACAATATCAAACGGTGAACGTCTGAACACATCACGAGCTTATTTATGGTCGGTGAGTAGTGCACTCAATCAATGAATTTGTTTTGCCAACGTTTACAGCGAGAAAACTTGAATGAGAAAAGTTTTTTTTTTGAAATTATTTTATAGGCTTTGAAGCGGCCGAATTTGAGCATCAAATCTGGCGTAATTTGTACACGAATATTGTTCGATCGTAGCAAAGCGATTGGTGTGGAATTTGTTGAAGAGGTTTTTAGTTTACCGAATTGAACCAGCTGACAACTTTAATCGTTTTTAATTTAATAATGGATTGCATCGGTACATATACCATCTGTAACAATAATATTTGATCCATTGGTACTAACGGTATTCAAGAATTTAAATGTACATTTATGCTTTCAAGTGAACAAATAATCTGCAGGAAAATTCAATAACGAAACAGCCGCTTGACTTGTTCAATCGTGAAAAAATTTACTGTGAGAATTCAGTTGTACTAACGGCTGGAGCGGTTGGTACACCACATATACTCATGAATAGTGGAATCGGGAATGGTGATCATCTAAAAGTTCGTCAGTTTTGATTGTGCTATACTGTTATGATCATCGTTACTATTATTTGCTGCTTATTTTAATTTCTTGTTATTTGCTATGTTTAGTATTGTCATGGTTATTATTATTGTAGTCATTGATATGATTATTAATTGCTATTATTGAATTTAAATAATGACAATATTTTAGGCTCATTCCATTCCAATTGTACAACATTTACCAGGTGTGGGGCGTAATCTTCAAGATCATTTGGAAGTGAGTATCAGACAGGTTTGTTGTTAAAGATGTGTTCTTCATTTATTGATTACTTTATTATTATTGCTGTCTGAGTTGTTCTTACAAAAATAGTTTTTATGATGACAATATTTGCAGTTATGTTCAAAGCCGATAGCACGAAATAATTCTCTATCATCATTCAGTTATGCGGGCATAGCTTTGAGCGATGCTTTGGAATGGTTTAGAAAGCGGAACGGTATTGCAGCATTAGGTTTCTATGAAGTGAGTGCATATTTAAAAAGCGACAAAAATAAGGTGAGGTCATAAATTTTTTCCTGATGTATTACTGAATGGATTTATTAATTTTATTGTTTTTATTAATATCTTTTGTTCGGTTTCGTCGTTTCTATTGATATTTGAATGTATTTTTCAGCTAAATCGTCCTGATTTGAGGTTTCGTTTTTTACCAGAAACACTGTATAACAGCGATCGAAAGGTTGGCGCCGAGCATGCCTATCAAGTACGGTGAGCATTAGTTATTGCCATAATAATATCGATGATAAACATCAATAGATGATAAAATAATTCAGATGAACGTCACACTCGTACAACCAAAGTCACGTGGCTATATAATTTTGGCGGATCGCGATGCTAGGCGGCCACCTCTTATTAATACCAATTATTTGAGTGATCCTGACGATTTGCCTCGACTTCGCTTAGCGATTCGCCGAGCCAGGTTTTTGTTATCTTTCTTTCTTTAATATTATTAGAATTGTCATTAGAATTATTACTGTTGGTATTATTATTAGCATTTTTATTGGTTGTATTAGTATGATCGACATTATTGCTTATTATTAATATCATTATTATTAGGTATTATTGTTAATATTTATTTTCAATGTTAATAAATGCTTTTCAACTGATTACTTTCATAGGGATATTTTGGCAGATGAAAGCTTTGACGAATTTCGCGGCAGCGAAATAACACCCGGTTCATTGTGCGTAAACAATGATCAGGTTGGTAGATTGTTTGCGTTTTTATTGCTGAATTCATTAGCATTATTATTGTTATGATTAACAGTTGGATGAATTTATACGCGCAACCGCTGTGTCAGCGCATCAGCTGTCGAGCACGTGTAAAATGGGTTGTGCCACAGATATTGAAGCTGTTGTAAATCCTGAAACGATGCAGGTTTACGGCGTAGACAATTTACATGTTAGTCGTTTGATATATCATTCGTCGTATATGTAAACTTTTGCAATTGGTCGAATTATCTGCGAAGATACGGACATTAACCCATCGCTTATGTTTGTTTAACTGAGTCGATATTTGGATGATATTAATGATATGAATTTTGTGCGTATATGTTACTGGTATGTAGTGTAGGTAGCGGACGCATCGGTAATGCCATCGGTGGTGAATGTTGATGTGACAGCCACAACAATTATGTTGGCGCATAGAGGTGCGACTTTAATCGAAGCCAGTGAATCGAAGCAATAACAGATCGATATAGACCAATTGTTATCATATTCCGTCACATCAGTTCAGTATGAGCACCATGTGCGGTATAGACGTCATCGATGCGGTGATATATCGAAAAAGTTCATCAAATGATTCAAGGTTCAAATTGCATATGGAAGAGTTGTGTTGCAGTGCTTGATTAGTGATGTTGTACGTAGGTTTGTAAGGAATGAATTGTCTATCATTTTTTGCTTTTTATCAGAGTAATTTTATTGTCGTTGTTTTATTTTGCATTATTTTAAATTGGTTCATTCGTTTACTATTATTGTTATCAAAATAAGAACGAAACAATTATTCACTGGTGTATGATTATGTGGTAGAAATTGAATTTAATGAACTGATCAGCGCATAGTTAATCTGAAATAATGAAAAGTAAGATCGATGGAGATGAGAACCAATTATCATGATACTAATTATGAATGAATAACACATTAAAACAGAACACTTGTATTGTGCTATTTGTAGAATAATAATAATAATAATATTGAATATCTCACCACATCGATACGATACTATGATCACTATAAATAATTGTTATGATATTATTATTATTATTATCAATCGCTAAACATTAAATGACAATTACACCAAAATGACAGCGACGTGAAAATGAATTAAATACAATAAACAAAAGGTAAATTACGCTACGAATGTTTATTCGGGAATGAATTTTTTTCATAAGAAACTGAATTAAATTATGCTAATAAAATCAACGATTGATGCTTTTTAATTGAATCCTTAGAAGTTATGAGCGGCAATACGTCTTTTTTGAGTTATTGAAGTTTTTTTTTCAATCCTTTGAACACAGAATTACTACTGACGGTCGTCTTGATTTCATTATTGCTTTCTTTGGTCTTATAGAGTTTTGAATATTGTTGATAAAAAATGGGCAAAAGTGAAACGAAAGCACTGAAAGTGATCATTGAGATAGACGAGTACGACCACATAACACCCGTACTGGTGAGCATTTGCAGTGTGGTGCCGGCTTGAATGAATATAAACGATGGTGGTGCGACACCTGAAATGAATAATTTGGTGATTCGAGAGAGTATTGGCACAAATGTGAAAATAACGGTAAAAGTCCATAAACGTACCCAAAAATGTGCCAAAGAAAAACACTGGTACTGGAACGTCTATGATTGGTGATGCTAAGTTGATGAACCAGTTCGGTAAAACTGGTGTCACACGTAGAAACACCATATAAAAGAATAGATAATTCTCCACTGAGGCCACCTTGAAATAATAAAGAGTGGTAATACCATGGAGCGTTTAAAATATAGCATAACGAGTTAATCACCAACCTCATTTTGCCACTTTTGAACTCGTTCTGGAATATATGTCATTATGAGACGTCGACCAAGAAGATGCGACAAGAAATAGCATATTTGAGCACCACAAGCCGAACACTTAAATTCGTTTGTTTTTATTGATAATCGTTGTTATCTTCATTACTACCTACTTCAATCAGCGGTATTATTGTTATGGAAGAGAGTAAACTGATAAAGACAATGAGCTGAAACTTTTAACCCACCGAGCAAACCATCAATAACGCAAGTGGAAATGGGAAAAGATAGCCGGAAAGAATCGATAAGAAGATTGAGCCGGGTATAGCAAATGACTGTAATCTGAAATCGGGTAACTGAAGATGGGATCACCGATAATGATTGTCATTGTAATAATGAAAGCAATAATATGGATGACAACAACAATAACAGCTTACAAAATATAGACTGTGGCCACACCAAATAACACCGTATAAAAATGTTCATCTTTATATCTTGATAACAGTAGACCCAGTTTTTTAGCCTGATCCAAATCCTTCGGTAATTTAAAGTCTGCGCGTTCATCGCTGAATATTCAAGAAGTATAAATTCATAAAACATTAACTACTGAAAGGTGCAATCAATCACAATAATGATGAATAATCACAAGTCTTATAATTGGGTCATATCATCGAAACTGAATGTGATTCATAACTGACGCTTTTAATTCAGGCATGTTTGCATACAAAAGTGTGGCGGCTCCCATCAAACACATTAGAATTCCTCCAATTGCAAACAATTTACGATCAGCCAGATGTGCACTTTTTTCATGTTTTTGGCCAACACTTCCATTGTCTATCGCAAACATCCCGGCTGGATCGAAAGCACTGAAACAGAGAGCACCTATGAAACGGCAGAGAGTAAGCATTTAAATGCGTAGGTGAATAATCAGAAGAATTCGAACATTCCTGTGGAATACCTCGTCTCTTTACGTTCCACCTGATGGGAATCAGCTACGTGGTATGTAAGCACTTCGCCATACGGTTGAAGAAGGGCGGAGTCACGACCGCATCGCGCGGAAGTATGGCAAACAGAGAACACTCACAATCAGAGATTTGAACGAAATTAGCAAAAAAAAAGGAATTAACAAATTTGCTCAAAAAGATCAGCAAATTATCGGTGAGAAATGTAAGCAGTCGACAAATTAAGTGATGACGAAATGATCGAGTAAGATACTCCTACAACCAAAATAGTGATCATCTTGAGCCAATCAGATGCCAGAAAAAATTTCAGTCAGCGAAAGAAGGGCATCAAAATTAGGATGATCAGAGAAGTGTGGGAGGTGCAGTGGGTCGTCACAAATATACTGCTGGACAAATACGTCAGTTGAAAACCCCGCAAAGGCTGGGATCGTCGTAATCGTGCTGACTGCAAAATAATGGGTGCAATTTTGTGATATTTTCAGTCAAATTAAAAAAAATGTTAAAGTGAATGATTCTACAAAGATTCATCTAGTTGTTTTTATTATATTTTATTATTTATATGTCACTGTTGTTGTGGAAACGTGAGCATTGCGGCCAGCAACGTTACAAACGTTTGGTAGTCTGGCCAATCCAGGTAATGTCACTGTTGTTATGTCTTTCATTAGAATATCCTCAACAAGTGGAAAAATATCGACAGGAATCGCTAGCTTTAACTCTAAGTCGATAAAAATCGCTCACACACAAACGAAATCGCTCGCTGTTAATTTGCAGTCATAAGTAAGCTCACCTTGAAGCGTGTGTCGCTTTTTTCCTCCGATTGTTTGGACATCTTGGCGAAGATGGTCAACTGCTTCTCATTAGCATATTCAATTTAGCTCTCCGGACAAAAAACACCTTACGGATAAACATTATGCGTTGTTTCCGTAAGTCGGATCTTGCATGATACCTGTCGCTTTTCAAGGCAAAATGTAACCGATTTGATGAGACATGGAAATCTGCTTCATTTCTTTCGCATTTTGCATGCTTTCAATGTGTCTACGAATAACTAGACTCCCGACAATTGGACCCATGACAGTTGGCGCCGTGCTCGTTTCGGTTCGATATCTCAGCAGTGCGAACGCATGTTTACCATTGAATACGCGAACAGAAACGAAATTTGGGTGACTGACTAGCACGGCGCCAATTGTTGCGGGTCCACTTGTCGGGGGTTCAGTTATCGGTCAACCTTTTCAAGTTATATCCTATCCTCAGTATTAAGGAAGCAAATAACCACCGAAAATGAGCGATAAAGATGGGTCGGGGGTAGTTAGTTCCCTGCCGAGTAGTACCCAGCTCAAGGAAACTCCTTCTTTTCTAGGGTTCCTTTCTCTTCTGAGGTAAATCCTCCTCTCTCCTGCGGGAACCCCCGTCCCTCTCAGGGGAACCGTTTTCCATCTCGCGGGAATGCTCTCTTCAGAGAACCCTTCTCCCTTTTGGGGAACCCTCTTCCTTTTCGGGGAAACCCTCCTTCCTCTTTGGGGAACCCTTCTCCCTTATGGGGAAACCTTTCGCTCTCGAGGAAACCTCCTCTAAAAAAGGGGAGATTTCCTCTTTCCTCTAGGTGTAATCTTTCCCTCTTCTGGGAGAACCTTCTGCTCTCTTGGAGGAGGAGGATTCACCCAGTAGGGAAGAAGGTTTCCTCGAGAAAGGGGACGGTTCACCCGAGAGTGAGGAGAGTTCGATTCTGATCTTTTTCATTGCTTTGAGTTAGATGTTCAGATTTACTGATTGATTGTTTGTTGGTTTAAGGAATGCGAATTTCAAGTTTAATACCATTAATTCTAACGATTCTGTGTATCCTTACAATATGGAATGTTATTCTAATCTTACACCGTACACACAGATCATTGAATAGATGTGATATGACTTACATGTTTCGCTTCATGTATTTCATGGTTTGTTGCTATTGTTATTTGTTTTTCATTTTTATTATTTTCATTTTTTTAGATATATTCATTTTTTATTAATTCTTTTAATATATTCATCATTTTCAATTTTTATTATTTTTACTTTTTAATTATTATATTATGAAGTCATACTGATTACGTGTTCCAAATTGCTGAAAGTTATTAAGTCAAACCAGTTTTGTTACGAGGTAGATGCAGATTTTTCGGGTCTCCAATCCTACTATGTAATTCTGTGGTTCAGATTGTTGGAATCTTTTTCAGTGAGTGCAGATAGTGTGACGTATATAGTTACGTAAAGTTGATCAATAGTTTTATTATTACCTTTCATTACTGTGACTGTCGTTTTTCCAAACATTATTAAACAGTAAATGAATTCACAACCAATATTATTACTTCATATTAGTTCCAATATTATTAGTTCATTTTCTCCATTTTTGTGACATTTCCGTCGATGAAAGTCTGTACTACTTTCAGCCAATCGAAATTCCAATTACTTCATCATCAGCATCCCCTTCAACATATCATCACACATCATCACGTTCCTCGTCGTATTCGTTGATCTCAAAATGGTTTTCTTTAACCACCGAAAAATCTTTCCCATTTTCCACCAATTTTCAGTCTTATTCAACAATTTTGTACGGTGAAGGAACGTATGCAGAGAATTACATGTACGAAACTTTCATTTTTTTAAAAGGAAAGTTCTCCCACCTATACGTTTGCTTGTTTTATTTTACAATTTCGATCTTTCATAAATCACCACTCGTCTAGATTTCGTTGTTGAGGGATATGTAAACATCAAGAATGAAGTGAAAGTAGTTTCAGAGGCCGCAAATGAATAGCTGTAATAAGAATATGAATTTGTTATTCTGAATTTTGAAATTTTATTATTTTATGAAATAAATATTCGTATGAGTTTTAGCAAGACACGAAAAGTTAGTGGTATTCCAGTACTGTTTATTCCTGGAAATGCCGGTAGTTCACGTCAAGTGCGTTCAATTGGTTCACTTCTTCTCAATAAAACCGAATCACGGAGGACGCCATTTAGGTTCGACGTTTTCGCTGTGGATTTCAATGAGGTTGTCGTTCGTTCCATTCAATTTTGTTTTGTTTTGGAGAATTAATTTTTGTGTTCTTCAAACACTCACCATATTCTTTTGTAAACGATGAACGGATTTGAACGAATGAATGAGATGATCGTTCGTTGTAGGAACTGACTGGTGTTGCTGGTATGTATTTGGAACGGCAAATACGTTACGTTGGAATAGTCATCGACCACATATGGAACCTTTATGAAAAACCACCTGAGGGTATTGTTGTAGTAGCGCATTCAATGGGTGGTATTGTGATACGTTCTTTGTTAAGAAAACCAAACTTTAATATTACTCGAATTGCATTCATTATTACTTTGGCAACACCGCATAACACACCGCGTATGGATTTGATTGTCTATTTAATTATTTATTCATTCCTCCAATTTTTATGTATTCCTCAACTGTTGTTATTGTTATTGCTTTCGTTTTGTTCAGCTGGTCCACTGGACGATTATTTGGTGAATGCGTATGAAAAAATGAAACGCTCATGGCTAGAGCGTGAGCGAGAATTACGAAATTTACAAGTGATCTCAATATCGGGAGGTCTTAAAGATGTGATGGTACCAGAATATTTAACAAGAAATGTGAATGGTGATGGTAAATTTATTAAACATTTTATAACGGCTGGTATTGACGGTGTTGAATTGGATACGGACCATTTATGTATTGTTTGGTGTAATCAGCTTGTCAGGTGCGTTGTTAATTATTTATGTATTTGTTTTTTCTGCTTCAACTTATTTACTCTTTTTTTAAGTTTATATGATGATTTTGAGTTTTTTCACTAATTGTATTTCATTGCAATAAATGCTCTCAAAAACTGCCAACCACTAATCGAATAGCTTTGAATTTACTATTGGCTAATAATTGACTAAGAATTGTTATCTTGAGTGAGTGCTAAAGCACTGAGACAGTCTTCATAATGACAAGTATTCGGTCATCGCGACATACAATCGTTTTTACGCGTTGTGTTATTTTGTGAGTATTCCTCACTGTAGTAGCACATGCCATTTGCGGTTCCGTGATTCTTTAGTCATAGCTTTCTGATTTGATGCAAAAATGCTCAATAGCTTAAAAATCTTTGATTGTAAATATTTATGTCTATTTCAGACTCATATCGCGTTTACTTTTCACTTATGCGAAATCACCAACAGAATTTTTCGTGAATTCCAATCGAATAATTTCTCGACTATTTGCATCATCATTTAATGGTAGTGGTCAGTTATCAGTGACAGCAAATATTAGTCGTAATGGTGTTCATAATGGGAGAAATGTGAAGGAGAGTAATGGTAGTACTCATACGAATAATAATAATGATGGTAATAACGATGTCATTGTTGATATTTCACATCGAAACGTTATAGTATGTGTTTTGTTCATTTACTCTTTTATTTATTCTTTTATCCATTTGTGTTCATGTATATTTCATTGTTCATATTTTTGTCCAGATGCGAAATTCAGCTGCAAAACCAAAAAATTATTCATTATCAATTCGTCGCGGTGATTGGTTATACATAAGTTTAACAAAAAGAATTATGTCCTCTGCAAACAGATCATCAGAATTATTATCATACGTGCAAATCAATCAAAGACCATTCGAAAGATTGCACGAATTTGCTAAGCGTTTATATTGTCTTGTGCCAGTGAACACTGTTCATCAGACACGAATATCGATCTTATTACAACCTCAGCAAGCATTTCGTATTGTAACACTACAAGAAAATGATCTTGTAAAGGTGAGTTAAGTTTTTTATTGTTGACGTTATGAAGATTATTGTTATGATTATCATTGTGCCTGTTGTTGTTTTTTTTAAATAATTGACCGTTCCATTGATAGTGTTATAATTTTCATTCAATATGCATGAATACATTTTTAAGGGACCAGTTATATTGGACTGGACGACACGTTTGTGGGCAATTTTGATGCTATCATCAGCAACACTTTGGGAAGCGCAGCTCAGTGGTTCAGATTTTCCGGCAGTGATTTTGCCGGTAAAATTTGACGGTGTTATCATTGCAGTTGATGTTAGATTGGAGGAGATATCATGCGAAAATAAGCCGAAAGGTGAGTGAATGATAGTAAGCTGACTTGCATAGGTAGTTGGGAAACTTTCTGGCTATCTTAATTATTGCTTTCATTACTACGAAATGTTATTGTTATGATCATTATTGTTCTTACTGTTTGTAAGAATATGGCTGTCATTGGTAAAAATGGAAATGAATCAAGGTGTGTCAAGGATGGAATTTCTAAGAAACGATATCATTTCTCGAACAAGGACAGAACTGAATAGGCGCGTAAGTGAACAAGAAGAAAAATTGATTGAGGACGATCTTCGTCGTCAGCAACATCGTGTGATTGGCTTTTCGGAAGGGAGTGATGTACACCACACAACTATTCGTCATTATCAGAAAGCCGTTGTGCTATTTATTCTCGACACGAATTGCAGATATCGTGCAAACATGCGAATGAATTTAGCATATACATTACAATTGGTATGTTACGTTACGCTTGTGAATAACTAAACATGTAGACCCATACTGATGGTAATTTAAATGGGATATTGAATTTGCTGATATTATTGACAGTAACCAACGAATGTACAAGCATTTATTGATTCATTCCGATAAAAAATACTGTGAATTTTACTGAACAGGAGGATTTGAATCATGTGCACGTAAGTATATAGGACAATATTTCTCACTTCAAACATTCGTGCAGTTTAAACGGGTGAAAATGATTTACATTTGAAAATTTCATTTTAGATTCTTCGTAAGAAAATTTTTATGGGTGCCTATCATGCTGTTGCGTATGTGCTGTGCTCAATGCTGATCATATCAGCTGTTTATAAGAACGGTAAACATTTACATACTAATTCTGCAGCGATATTGTAATTTGTTTTACTATTAATTTGTCAATATTTTTTAAGTAATCAATTTTACTGTTTTCCTTGAATCTTTTTGTGGTAAAATGAAATTTCCATTCTCATCAAATTTGCCTGAAAGTTAAATTTGACAAGTAAATTAAGTATGAACTTTTCTTTTTAAGTTATACCACGCAAATGGTATTCAAGTGAATGGAAAAAATTCGTATTGCATGCCATCGTCTACATAAGTTTTGTTCTAGCGAGCAAAATGTTCGTTCTTTTTGTTCTGTTTTTTTGCTTTTACTTTCCTTTTCATTTTGAAAATTGCTTTTTAGTGCATTTTCGAGGCAGAAAAAAGTTGTGATTGAGGAGTAGTAGGAATATGAGGAAGAATAGATGGATGAGTGATAATGGAAGAAGTAATATAAAATAGTGATAATGGAAAATAAATCATTTATTAAAATGAATTTAATTCGTTTTCAAGGAATGATCATTTATGCGCAGCGCTTTGCGCACTAGTGATCTATGTGTTCGTTTTCATACTTGAAAGATTGGCTTGGTTTACGATAAAATTGACGATATTGCTGATGGGTTGTGCAGATAAGTGGTTAGTTGTTGGTTTGGTGATTTGTAGAAAGTTTATTTCTTTTTGGAAATCAATTTTGTGTGAAATTTTTTATAAACACAAATTATTTACGCGTTTTTGTATGTGTTGAAAGATAAATGAGTATTATCGTATAATTTACTTGCTGATATATGAACTGTCTACTGTTTTAACAAATTCGTTTACAGTGTTTTAAACAAACTATACCGATGAGCCATATAGCCCAATCGTTCATTCGTATTTGTTATGTATTAAACAGTAATATAGCGGGATTAGGTTCGATAATCGACAGCTTAATTTTTGGTTTGTAATGAAGGAAATATGACTCCAACGTCAACTTTGAGCATCGTCTTATACTGCATTACGAATGTTTATTACCGTAACGGTTCTGATTTTAGCAACGTAAACTATTGTTATTGATATTCGTTATTGCGTAACATCATTTGTATTATCAGCATGTTGGAAACATATTGTTCATTTCAGGCTACTTATAAGTCGAGTAGTATTGTTACGTTTGAAATTAATTGATATTGTTTTATTGTGGTTGATATTATTTGTAATCGAAAAATCGAATGGTTTCATTATGCTGACAATACTGATGCTAGTTAATATATGGGTAAGTAGATGTTTCTAATGTATTGAACGATTTTCAAAACGATGGTATTGAACGATGATTTTTATTTATTTATATTCATTGAATAGATTATTTATACCATTATGCTGTTACTGTTATTATTGTTATTATTAGTATAGTAGTAATTTTCTTTTTTGGTTTACAGCAAATTGTACAGCTGCAGCAGGGACAGTATGAGCGTCTGCCGGAAATACCTCCAAATTTCAATTTTCTGTCAACGACGCGGTCTTTCGTTGAGCAGCAAAACTGCCATCAGCAGCAGCATCAGGCACATGAAGAGAAGAAGCAGCAGCAGAATATTGAGACAACAGAAAGCGTAATGACTTGCAATGCAGATGAAGGTGTTCAACTTAAAGAAAAAAGCAACAACAACAGCAAAATTGACAATAAAAATAGCACCAGTAACAGGACGATCAACAACGACGAAACTTCATCATCAGTATCATTATCGCCGACGCCATCTGAGACAGATGTTCGCAGAAGTCATTTGATAAACAAACTAACTGAACTACTGGTTGTGTTACACTTTCAAATGTTACTTTCATTCACACCATTTGCTGTTTGTTCCATGTGGAATCTTTCGAAATACGGCGTTGAATCGTTATCGGTTTATGAGGATCCAGCACGTCGTAGCGCCTACTTACTATGCGCAATGATTCTCTTCAATTCGTTATTCGTCGGTAGTCACAGCAACTGGCGTATTTTTGATTCTTATTTTTGTTCTACTTCTTCGCTGAAAGTATTCGTCACATCACTGGTAAGTCATTCACTCAATTACTCGCAAGATTTTACTTCGTCGAATTTTAGTTGATTAATTGATTAGATACACATGGATGAGTAATTCATCTGATTCGACGCTTACTGAGCAGTTGGCGATATCTGCTTAGTTGTTTTGCATGGAGATGATGAAGAAAAAAGAAGTAAATAATTGAATGTGATGTGTTCTATTCATTCTGTTTACGCGTTCATTCAGTTGTTTTTTTTAAATTTCATGCTTGTTTCTTAAGATTCTTTTTTTTCTTAAAATTTTTTTCTTGTTTCATTCATTCATTTTCAGAGAGCAACAGAATTTATTGCGATCAGTAACACATTTCAAAAAGATTTTTATTGGGAGATATATTTTTGTATGTATATGAATGAATAAATATGTGTTCAAACAAATGTATTTTTAACATTAATTAAATAGTGATTCGTGATTTTCAGATATTCGTAATTCCAATTGTGGTACTTGGTATATTGGCAAATGCTAATGAAACAGCAACACTTTCGTATTTGGGAATGATTTTGGCAACTACCGTGGGGATTATGAGGTTTTCATTTATGTCTTTCTCAACATTGTCGTTAGCGCGAGCGAGAAATTCGGCTGAAATTACGTCAGACAGGAGATGAAGACGAAGAACGTGATAGTCACATTGCGATAACATTGGAACCGATCTCCAACGAAAGTATATCCGGCCACTAATATCACTAACCAATATCACTAACTAATACCACTAATATCACTAACTCTGTCGTACCCCAACTCTTCAACCATCACACAGCAGTCATCGCTATCATATCTCCCATAGTGCTCTCAATGCCATCTCATTGAGAACTCCGTGAAATGAAATCGCCACCAGAACTCAAATTAAAATCGCTAAAAAACCTCAGATCAAGTTAGCTGCAAAAATTCCAAGTGGAAACTCGTCGCACTACCTAATTTCACATAAACCAATGATCATCGGGAACGTACAAGCACGTAGTATAATCAGATTAACAGCCACCAAATCCCCGATGATCACCAAACATCGTCAGCTTCATGATATTCTAATTCTTCGGTTCGTCAATCTCGCTGCATTAATGATCATCAAACACTCGTAAATCCGTGGATTCGCCGACCCACTACACAATAACTTCCGTGACTCGAACTAAATTCGTTGCAAATTCTGAGTCACCAAACGTCACTTTCTGCCTATCAGGAGAGCATAAATAGTTCCATCTCAAGCTAGCACAAGACCATTCGACTCCACTTCGTTCAAGAACGAGCCACGACCTGGAACGCCGTCTAGATCATTCAGCTATTTGCTGGTGGCAGCTTGCTTTATCTAGCCACTAACCACTCGCAGCCATGGTGGCACGGTTTGTCAATCAGTCACCTCAGTCGTAATACCAATTATTGAAATAGTGGTTCAGCTTAGTGTTGTGCTGGAAGTCCTCGAATTCGGGGCCCCGCCTCCGACCTTTTTGGAACGGCGGCCATTCTCGGGAACTGTCCCCGTTCCCAAAATATCCCCGATTCTTCCCATCCCCGACTTCTCCAGAATTGTCTGCTCGAAATTTCGAGGAGTCTCCACGAAATTTCCGAGAAAAAAATTAAATTTTCGAGAGTGACTAAAGTGTTCATTAGTACTATCGTTAACACGTTATTGTGAGTCGCGACAAGGACTTCACGTTACCTACCGCTCACATCTGAATGCCCTCAGGAACGATGGGTGGTTACCATTTCTGAAATGCGTGGTAAGAATAAGAAACAACAAATTTGTCACAAAGTGGTACCGAAAACCTACCTGCAAGAACGTCATTCACCGAAAATCAGCACATCCAGGTAACATGAAGAAAAACATTCTAACACAAATGAGGAATCTTTTGAATTACGGTGATGAATCGTTATCGGTTCATGAGGATCCAGATTGACGACGGATATGTCGTCAAAAAGAGAAGCACTGAGCCTAGCGGAGACAGTCGCTCAGCATAGTGGCTACGATGGTTTGAAATTTGAAATCAAGTATCAAGATGTGCCAAAATGAACAAACGAAGGGGCAATATTTAAGATACCATACGTAAAAGGCCAATATAAAAGTATCATTGAACGCATTGTTCGGGATAGTGGCACACCAAATCATATCTAAATATGTCTATGGCCAAGCACAAAATTGCACATCATGTAAACTCCATTTCCACTTTAACGGTCGGGATTTTCACGCATTCTAACTGCACCACAAAGAGATATAATGAAAGCCACATTCATCGAAGCTCAAAGTCGCTCTATCAACTCTGAAGAGTTGGTGGTGAAAGCCCTCATATTCGTCTCATAACTTATCACTCCCTTAGGTTTTATCATTCATTTCCTCATTCATTCATTTTCATAATAACTCCGTAATTTTCATAATAACTTTTCATAATAACTCCGTCTGTATTTCATTTTATCAACCATCATTACGATATTATCATCATGATCATAACCGTTACTCCCGCCATCTTCATTATTACCCACTTTACTACAACTATTCCATTCATTTGTTGTTTATTTGTTTGAAAGAGTTGTTATTGATTCATTCATTCGACTGTCTTTTATGCGTTCGTTGTGCCTTCATTGCATTTATCCTCTTCAGTCGTTATTCTCATAATTCCATCTATTGTTTGGCGCATTTGTTTTTTTTGCACTTTCACTTAAGTATTTTTACTTCACATATTTTAGGTTGTATTTTTTTCGTTGATTTCGTTTTCATTTCAGTTTTTTACTTTGTAATTCTTATTATTTTTATTGTCATTATTATTATTTGATTGACTGATTAATGCGTTAAATCTTTTTTGTGGAACTGTTTCCGATTTTGATCTCATTTCAAATTTTGTTTCTTCATTGGATATTGGGTATTATCAGTGAGCATTAACAGTTTATTATCACTGCTAGCATTAATACTTTTTGCTATCATTGCTATTATTGATATTAGTGACGGAATTGCTATTCTCATTAATAATTTTGATGTTATGATTGTCGTTACTGTCATCGTAAGTATTGTTATTATTGACGTTTTCAGTACACGTATTCATCAGCAACGCACTGCGGTTGTAGCGGTAATGTTATGGTTATTACCATTGTTGTTATTGTTGCTGTTATCATTATTGTTGTGGATTTGTATTCCAGTAGTTCTGTTGTGGTTTTTTCACTGTGTGATTTTGTGATTATATAACTTCGTCATTCCAACAAGTTTACGTTTTACACAAGTGTTGATGCGGCAGCAGAGCCATATATGAATAAAGATTTTGATATTGTTTCTGAACAGACGTTTGGCTCTTATTCAGTCTTCTCATTTATCATAAACTCTGTGCGTCAATTCAAAAAGTGCACTTATTTCATCTGAATTTCATATAATGAATTTCACGGAAACGCTGCATGGTATATGTTTATAATAATTTTTATGAAGAAATTGGGTCGATGGATATTAAAATTTTTATATTCCAATTTCTATCACATTTCGCAACTTTTTACGACAAGAAAATTCCTCTCCTATATTCTTCTCTGTGACACTCATTAAATAATGTCATCATTAGGAGGTGTTGAATCTTGACTACGTACAGTAAAGTTGGATGTCACAAGGTTTCGGAAGCAGAGCCAAAGTGGTCACTGATGGTGGGGTACTATATGCAGTTAGTTTTGCTAAAAGTAATTAAAAACTATTTGTAGTTTCTAATTACTTTTAGTTTCACAATTTTCTCCAGTTTAGTACTACCGCTGGAATGAATGATTCTTTTCGATGGATGATGATTTTAGCTATTGATTTAGATGTTTTCGTAGTTTTGCTTTCGTATGAATTGAAGATGCTGTGGCTGTTTTCACAAGATGTTTTTATAACACTAGTTTCAGATGGAGGATGTTGACGACTATAAAGAGAAAAAATATGGAAAAACAAACGTCACGCAACGCAAATGCATTGCCACATGCTGAAATAAATGAATGATCTGGAAATGCGTTGAAAGCAGAACAAGGTAACAATTGGATGGATGGATGAGTAGATTAGAAAAGTATCTGAATCAAGCGCATAGCAAACTTTTAGGGAATGAGCATGTTTACGACGGAAGATCGGACGGATGATAGGTTAATGAATTTTCCAATTTTTTGATTATTGCATCGTTCCTCGAATTTAGTTTTTTATGATTTATTTGCCATTGGCTCATTCACAGTTCAACCTATTACCTTAGAGTACACTTTAGGCTCAAACAATCACTGTCGAACCCTAAGCGGATCGCATCAACGTTGAAAAACGAATTTAATGATTAATTTCAATGGCGAGGGGGCCTGAAATGCAGTCGAGCCGTCGTAGCGTTTGTGTTTGTTAATGGTGGTCTGTTTGTGGATAAGGTGAAAATGTGTTTATACATGGAATGGATTGAATGTTTATACATGTGGATGGATAATAGGAGGACAAGACGAAGGAATTTACGAGTGTGGAGAGGAAGGGTAAGAGAGAAGGAATGCAGGCAAATTATAAATAAACTTTTTGTTTCGAACTAGAGAAAGCAATGATGCGATTGATGACGAAGGATTCACAAGTAAGTGAAATGAAATGAATGAGGAATGCAGGCTAAGCGCAGCGAAGGAATTGTCTGATAGTGATGTTCGGCAGCAGCACATGTAAAGATATATATCATCTTCACTGATCATCACAAATGACAAGTAATAATCAAGTGATGAAGAAAAGAGAATGAGTAAATGGCGACAACTGAACGAAGGAAGAAGTATACACGACAACCACTGCGTTTGCTGGCTTCGTTCGTTCGCACTGCCGACCCACCAGTCGACTTGTCGCTTGATGTTGGTTGGTTAATTGGAGTATTGACATTGAAGGCAACGCAAACGAGGTAGGCAAGTAACATAGGCATGGATGAATGGCATTTCGTTCCCAGTAGTAATACTAGTGCTCTTATATTGCTAATAATAAATGAAGAAGCATTTGATCGCTATCGTTTTAGTATTAGTATATCATATTACTGATACTGAGGAAGGGACAGAAGGAAAGAGGAAGGGAAGTTACTACTGTCGCTGACTATGCTGCTTTGAACGAACGTTTTGTTCGGTTCGTTCGGCGACTGCTGATGTTGCTGCTGGTGGTTTGCCTCTGATACTATTGCTTTCGCATCGCTGCAACGTTCTGCTTTCGTTAGTTAGTTAGGCTTATTCCTTTTACCATAACGCTACGTCATTGTGTTGTGTTCATTTAGTTGCTGTTCAGTACGGTTCTCATCTGTCATTTCATAGTCAGTCACGCTATTAGCAATGATGTTTGAGTTCGACTAGTGATAGGAACAGTGTTCGTCGTCAAATAATGACTGTTGTTCGTGTTACTGTTGATGATAATGATGAACGACCGATGGCGACACCTAGTATATAATACTAACTAACAGCGTTAACGTCGCACCTCAGCCAGCAGGCAAACAACCAACGAACCCAACCCAACATATTAGGGATTATATATTATTTATTCTTACGCATACATATATTTTATTAATACATATAACTGTATCTGACATAATTTCACATATCTATAAATAAATATAGAACTACTGAAATGGCCTCGGCGACAACGACAACGTTATACA